GCAACATTCTGCAAAGTTATTTCTCCTTAGGGCATTCCAGGGATATCTTCAGGAAATAACCAAAAAATTCTTTAATGAAAACTGAAAAAATGCTCATTTCTCATTCCTTAGGTGTTTCCTGTCAACCAGTCTTCTTAGGGAAGGATTTTGGGTTTGCTTTTGATGTGTACCATCTGTTGCGGGGGAGGCAAATGCAAACCCAGAAGCTATTCCCTAAAGGTTTGGTTTTCTTGCTGTTGGGTTCTCTTTGGGAGAAGAACACCTACAAGCTCTCTGTGTAGTTTCTTCTTGAGAAGACTCATTGAAGGCAAAGATTTTCAAGTTGTGATCCTGCTCCAGGCTCGAGTTGTGAAATCAAGACTGTAAGCACTTACTACTGAGATTGTACTGAAATAATAGGGCTGGTTGCTTCTAGCAAAGGTTCTTGTTTCTTTGATTTTTTTTTAAGATTTGCTTATTTTATTTTTGAGGTAGAGCTACAGGGGTGGGGTGGAGGAGGGAGAGACCGTGAGAGAGTTGTTCCATGGCCTGGCTCACTCCCCAAATGGCCACAAAGGCCTGAGCTGGTCCAGTCTGAAGCCAGGAGCCAGGAGTTTCCTCTGGGTTGGCCAAGTGGGTGCAGGGGCCCAAGTAATTGACCATCTTCCACTGCCTTCCCAGGCATATCAGCAGGTAGCTGGACTAGAAGGGTAGTTGCCCACGCTCAAAGCTGCCTTCATATGGGATGTGGGCCCACAACACCAGCCCCTGCGTTTTTACTCAGTTTACTGTCCATGCTACAGGTCACAGAGAATTGTATGCTTCTCACTACAATTTGAGGACAGAGGTCTAGGAGAAATCTGCTCTATCTTTTTCTCTTCATTTTTCCCCCTGCTGTGCAAATATGATCACTGAAAGAGGAAGAATTCTATCAATGTCTCTTGTTAGGACTCTTCTATGAAGAAGGTTCATGCTTGGGATACTTCTAGGCTGGTGACCTGAGCACATTCACATTCCTTGTCATCTCTAGCCAAAGGCTAGAAGCCCCTGGGTACTTTGAAAACTACTAATGCTCCAAACCCACCTGAAGCCACTTCAAACTGAGATTGCTAGGAACAGAAACCAGCCATTCGTGGTAGTTATAGGCTCTCCACGTGATTACAACATGATAGCACGATTAGAAGCTACTGCATACACCTGGTCTAATTCCTACCCTTCTCTGATTCCTTGTCTCTCCCATGATGGGTGTCTTGCCCATGCAAGCAGAACATCTTTAGTCTTCCTCTGCACAGTCTCACATGTGTCACTCTCTGTCATAATTGGACCTTCTGTGGCAAGGATTTATCCATTTCTATGTAGATCTTTAAAAGGTGGCCCCTGCGTTCCCTTTTCCCCAAGCCTTATTCACTACAAAATCAACTAGCTGGGCTTTCAGATACCTGAACCTGTCAATCATAGGTAAATGCTCTGCACAGGGTTCCTGGGTGCTGAGGATTGGTAGAAACCCCCAGGACTTCCAGCTCTCTGAGCCATCAGGCAAAATGACTCCAGTAAGCTGACAATTCTCCCCCTCATTAGGGACTTTGGGAACAAAAACAAACCATGGGCCTGAGAGAGCAAAAGAAAGCCTAGGTGATGGAGGCCTCTACCTAATGGATCTCATGCAGAGGTGGATACTGAGGTGAGCTTGCAACAGCAGGAGTTCAGGAAATGCTGTATCTGGAGCACAAGGGACAGGCTGAAGATAGTTTGAGACTTTTAAATATTTTCACTAAGCTAAAGATATTTTTGTGTTTCATTTTTCTCCTCAGTCAGAGTCTAGTACAATGAGGAGATAGGATGTTATAATTTGAATACAGTAAATTTGTATTTTATCAAAGACCAACATGAATCATCCTTGCTTCATCTTTTAGCACATTTTTTTTTCAGCAGTTTGAAAAAAAAATATTTTACTCATTTCTTTCTGAAAGACTACTGACTCCTGAGGCGGTGGGGTGAAGGCCGTGCGGCTGTCCCCGCGGCTGCCCGACCTCCCAACGCACCGCGCGGCTCCCGCTCGCCTCTCGGTGGAGTCCCGGGCGCTGGAGCGCAACAGCGTCGCTCTGCAAGGCCGGCGGCAGCCCGGGACACGCGGGCCAGGGAAGGGGCAATCCCTGTGCTTCTGGGCATGTAGTCTCTGTGGCGCAATTGGTTAGCACGTTCGGCTGTTAACCGAAAGGTTGGTGGTTCGAGCCCCCCCAGGGACGGCTGCCCTCACTTTTAACCCACGTGGTAAATCAGTCAAATACCCTCATTTCTGACACCATCAGAGGCCCCCTTCCCTTGCATCCCCAACTGGGCACCAAATGTTAGGGAAAGAGGCACAGAAGTGAGAGGAGGCAGCCAGACCCAATTTGTTCAGAGAAAAGAAATCCCAGAGGTCGGTTGGTCGACCAGCTGCCTGCATATACAGGATGGACCACGTGGCAGAAGGCCCTGACCCCAGGAGCCACACCTTTTGAAGGAAGACTGGGGCTGGGGGTGGGAGTAGTGAACAGCAAGCAAAGGGGATTCAAGGAACTGGGTGAGGCTTTGCGAACCTGCAAGGATCCGCTTATCTCAGGGGCATCTCACACATTTCCTGACCTTATGTAACCAAGCCTTACAGATAACGTTCTTACAAGATCAGTTTTTCAATAGATGGCAGTCGTGTGCCTGGTTAGGGAAAATAGAGGATACCAAGACAAGGACAAAAAGGAGTGACTCTGGTCAGGCCATGGCTCACTGGCACTTCAACTAGGTCTAGTTTCATGTATGGTCTGGTTATTGAGCACAGCTAAGATAGCAGTTGGCTATATAAGCTCCTTCTAAGCTGGCCTTGCTGGGACTTTTAATGAGGAGTCTTCTTTAAATGCCTCTCTATGGTGGGAAGACACAGGCAGGTCTGGCTGTGCAAGTCGGCCTTCAACGTCTCTCCTGTTGGCTGAGTTCCTCTCTTCCTGTCGTCCTCACAATGGTTGTATTGGTCCTGGGCCTTCCTGTCACCAGGCTGGGAACCTGTGAGACCCGCGCCAAGGGCAGGGTTCTTCCAGGGGCTTTCTTGGTTCAATCAAGTCAACTTCCGTTCTTCAAAACTGGCCAAGCCTGGGCCCGTGAGCTTTTCTGAATACGACATTCTAGCCAAAGACCAGGTCGAGAAACAGTATTTCCAGTGAGTCTTCTCACAAAGAGAACACATATCTGCTGACACAGCAACAACGATTTTGGGGCTGCTTGCATTGCCGGCATCCATATGGGTGCTGGTCTAGGTGCCCTCTGCTCCATTTATGATCCAGGTCTCTACTTGTGGCCTGCGAATAGCAGGGGAAGATTGCCCAAGTACGTGGGCCCAGCCGCCTAGGTCGCAACCCATTTGAAGCAGCTATGCCGCCATAGTTCCACTCGGGAGAGGAAGGCGCTGACGCGGGCAGGAAGTGGGATGGGCGAAGGGCGCTGCCTGAAAAACGCAGAGGGGACAGCGACCATGCAGCTGGGGCCAGCGGGGTCAGCTGCTCAGGCTCTGGGTAAGGAAGTACGCCCAAGTCCCGGGCGACAAAAAGGTCACATCACAGCCTGTTTCAGGAAACTCGCTGGTATCTGGGGATCAGTGCAAGGAGAGCCCAGGAAGCAGGAGGAACTCACTGTGTGTGTGCACAGAGAGTTGTGTGAGGCTGTGCTGGGACAGAAGGGGTGGAATTCATACTTACCTGGCAGGGGAGACACCATGATCACGCAGGTGGTTCTGTAGGTAGGAAGTCACATATGAGCTTATGTGTGTGTGACAAAGGCCTAAAGAGTTGACATGTAGGTCCAGCATATGCATCTCAAAGTCATCCCAATAACCTGCCAGGGGCAGCCCAGTATTTGCATCCTGCCCTGCTCCCTCTACCCAGTAACCTGCCAGGTGGGGGTCCCCGCCCCTTCTGCCTGATCACCTTCCAGGTGCAGCCCAGTATGTGCACTTCAAACATCCTAGGGATCTTCCAGAGGGTCCCGCCCATCCTTCCTCTAAGCAGGGCAATGGCAGCCAGGCTTCCTGCTGTTTCTGAGAACTTCAGAAGCAAAACTCAGATAGGAACTTTTCGCATTTACATCCAAAAAGTCCTTTGCTCCAGGAAGAGCAGAGGCAGCAAGGCAAGGCCCATCTACTTCAGAGCCCCTGGCCTCAACCCTCTGCCTGGCAGCTGAGCCACCCGCCTGGCCTGCCCAGGTGTACTCTCTCCACTCAACCATGTAACCTCACTCTCCCCCAGTCTGAGGGACTGACTGGGCACTCTCTCTCAGGGTCTGTCTGGAGAGGTGCCCATCCATTCTTACTTTGGCCCTGCCCTAATAAACCTTGCTGTTTTACTTTCCACTTACTCTCTGTCTCACGCCTGATTTCTTGCTTGGGCCCAGACAAGAAGCCTGCCAATCTCTGGTAACCGTGCTCCCAGGGCGAGGCTCGTCCGTTTCACTGCGGCAGTGCTAACCCCTGCAACTTCCCCATATGGGGGAAACTCGACTGCAGAATGTGTGGTAGTGGGGACTGTGTGCTCGCTCTCCCCTGATTTTTCTCCAGTTCAAAGAGTAGATGCTCCTCAGGCTTATCAAAGCAGGTGTAATGCATGGAGAAGGATCGGGTCTCCCCGCGGCGCCCGCGTGGGTCGGGGAGGGAGGGACGGGACGGGCACAGCTGTCACTCAGCTCGTGGAGGGCGCGCTGGTGGTTCTGCTGCTGGGCGCGGGGTGGGCGGGGCGCCTGCGGTGGCGTCCCGGACGGGGCGGGGCTCTGTAGATAGAGCAACGCAACGCAGGGGCTGCTGGTCCGGGACCTGCTGTAGATTCACGACCGCTTTCCCGTGCTGTGGGAGAAAGCACGGGACCGCTGGCGGCACATACGTGCGCTGTGCGTGCGTGAGGGCGAAGAGGGCCCGGGGCGGGGGAGGTTGAGGGGCGCAAAGTGAGCGCGTGTGAAGAGTGCGGGGCGTGTGAGGCTGTGCTGGGGTGGAGCGTTTGGTCCTCATACTTACCTGGCAGGGGAGACACCAGGATCAGAGGCAGGTGGTTTTCCCAGGGCGAGGCTCTCCCATTGCACTGCGGGAGTGCTGACCCCTGCGATTTCCCCACGTGCGGGAAACTCGACTGTGGAATTTGTGGTAGTGGGGCACTGCGTTCGCGCTCTGCCCTGGCTGTGCTTCGTTGAAGAGTAGGTGCTTATTACCCTGCGGCTGTACAGACTGTGTCGTCTGTGAGCAAGTACTTGAAACACTGCTAGGTTCCACAACCCTACTTACTGCATCTACACTGATAATTTTCATGCAGTGTCATTCACTGTTAACACTTTTTCCTCCTTGTATCTACTATCCTTTGGACTCATAGAGCCATCACTCACACTTTCTCTCCACGTAAACTGGCACAAGCTTGCGGTTCTACTCATTGTATTTTCACTTTCTCATAGCTCACTGTGTTCTTTGTACTTTTCCCTCTAGGGCTTGCTGCAATTTGCATCTCATTTGCAGCCCAGAGCCATGATCCCTGGTGGTGCCAGGTCCTGAAGGGGAGCAGTAGGCCCCTCTAAGACAATTATTCAGGGGACATCCTTACAGGTTTTACAGGAAAATGCAAATAAACCGCCTCAAACGAGGAAAGAAGGGCTGCTTCTCATGTAACAGGAAGCTCAGTGCTGGTTAGGGTTTCAAAATCTACAGCCTCACCACATTCTCTTCCTATGATCCCATAGGAACATCCCATAGGAGCCACTGCCTCCTGCTTTTGTATACACTTTCAAGACAGTGAACCTCAACCGAGCCAGAAACCACAACTACTTTTTATGGATTGGCCTCCTACCCCAAAACTTACCCTGCTTAATATAACCTATCTCATCTCTTATCTGTAACCACTGTAAATTCAATATAAACAATTTATAGGTTTTCCTTCTCTAAATTTTTTTTTTTTTACAAAAATGGTTCTTAGTCCAGTGGACTTATTTCCAATGATCAGCCTTAATCCTGGGGGCTGGGAAATTTGTCCAAGGACCCAGTCCTTTTCTTGCTAAGGCTCAAAGAATCCTTGGTCTCAAGTGTTTTGGTCTAACAGTATCACTACAAATATGCTAAAAGTAGAACAATAGCACCATCTCATAAAGACTTAAATCAGTGTACTTTAGCAAACTGGATCTTTGCTACCATAGTGCTTTCTTGTGTACACACACACACACACACACTGTTCCTTCCTACTCACATATCAGATTAGGCATTTGCACTGACCTGATTATTCAGCCACACACACACACACACACACACACAAAAGACATGACTTGAGCCATCCTGTAGTCCTCAATTTCCTGTCCCATTTGCCTCCCTAGCTGTCTACTTCTCCTCCTCAGATTCTTATTTATTCTTGTCCTCCTGGAGGGTGTCCTCTTTCAAGTCCGTGGCCTTGTCTATCAGGGCACAGGGGAAAAACTGAGAATTGTGCTAAAATGGACAGTATTACTGCTGATTGAAATCAACTCAAATAATTGAACTGATCATCTCTCTCAGGGTGTGTTGTGGTAAACTCCTTAAAAAGTTCATCTTGAACACTTAGTTTTCCTCCAAAGAGAAATCTGAAGTGACAACTTCCAGAGGATGTAGAGTAAGCTCAAAACTGAAGCTCTGGCATTCACCAGGGATGAGGTGAAATAGCAGTAAAAGTTGCTGGGAGCCAGCTTCTAAGTGTGTAAAACAACCAAAGGGAAGTGATGTCTCTGTTGAGTTTGCAGATGGAGTTTACAAAAGCTGGCTTGCTTCCTTTCTTTCATTTTTAGAGACTTATTTATTTATTTGAAAGTCAGCATTACAAAAGGAGAGGGATCTTCCATCCACTGGTTCACTCCCTAATGGTGACAACAGCCAGGGCTGGGCCAAGCCAAAGCCAGGAGCCAGAAGCCAGGAGCTTCTTCCAGGTCTCCCATGGGTTCACAGGGTCCAAAGCACTGGGTCATCTTGTGCTGTTTTACCCAGGCCATTAGCAGAGAGTGGAGCAGCCAGGATGGGTCAGGCACCCTTATGGGATGCCAACATTGCAGACAGCGGCTTTATCAGTTAAGCCACAACTCATTCTTGAGAGAGATAAGGAAGAGTTACAGGAGGGCAGTTGCCCTGCCAGTCTAGCCTTGAAATCATTTAACTACAAGGTGTTCCCATGATCCCAAAAATGTGTACTGTGACACGATTTCCCTTGTCATGTCCCCAGTGTCTGAAGTCTCCCCAGGTTTACAGATCTAAAGGAGTTTGGAAGAGCAGAGGATAAAAAGATATAAGCCAAGGTTCTAGCAAGTTTCAGAGCATGGCAAGAAGACTTCTTGGTGCAAGGTGTCCGGCGCATAACAAATCTTCCCAGGCAGATGAATCAATTAATTCACAGGCTTTTATGGGGTTCCAATCCCGGGCAAGGTTCCCTGGTCCCAACAGAGCAACAGACTGGGGGCCAGAGAAGTCACGCATCAGAGATGGGGAGGGCTCCTTTCATAGATTCAGGGCATGGGGGTTAAAGGTTGAGGCAGGTCTGATCCTCATTGGTTGACCTTTAGGCATCCTCAGGGACCTTGACTAGAACTACCCCCCCCCCCCCCACGGAAGTACAGGTAGGAACCTTCCATTCCCGGAAGTATAGGCCTTACTTCCATGTGGATCCCAAAGCTACGATCCTGACCTTGTGATGATAGGAAAGGGGGCGACGAAGAGTCTGTCTGGCTACTTCCTGCTGACCATGGACATCGTCTACAGGGGCCTGCTGGGGGTTATCTTGGGGCTCCGCAGGGACAGGCATGTATGGATGGAGAATCATCTGGTTGAGCGCCTGGTTGCTGAAGGCCTTGGTTCATTCCATTATCAGCTGCTGTAAACACTTAAACAGACACTGCAGAATACAAGTCAGGGTGAGAATAGCAACCAATGATACTGAGAGTGGCATTAACAAAGTAATGAGAGGATTTCATAAAGGAGAGGAAATGAGGGGGGTGGTCTGTGGACCCTTGTAAGGATTGTTTGATGGACTGGTTTAAATCTGATCCCAGCCGAGATCGGGAGAAAGGCCACTCAACTTTTGCAGGTAGAGGGGTTTGTCTGTAGAGAAATTCTGAATAATCATATGACATTAAGTGGAGGAGAGGACCATCAGTACACACAGGTTGGGAGTAGAGCCATTGATGTTAGAGTAGAGGTTATGATTACAAAGGAATGAGACCCAAGTGGGATAGACAGGGTCTAGAACAAAGGACAGAGTCGTTATTAGAGGACTCAAGAAAGGTGCTGGCAAAGCCACAACTCAGTTTGCTGATTGAGAGGCAAATAGAACCTGACAGAAGGGGCTTGATAAAAATCTGGTGGGCTTTAGGCCTTGTAAGTTAAGAGGCCCGGATCTGTCTGTCTCTTCACGTGGGGTACATCCTAAGGGAGGTGTGAAGCTCCTTGGGGAAGGCACCCTGTTGACTTCCATTACCTACCTGGCCTGGGAGGAGAGCTGGCCAAGTGAAGGCAGGTGGCATCTCTAACAGGAAACTTACAGTTCTGCCTGCAATGTTGCTGACGCTACTTGGCCATCTCTTCTCAGCAGTGGTGGTCACCTTAGAAGCTGGGCTGAGTGAAGCGCTTTTCAGCTTAGAGCCAATAAGATCTGTGGCTCGGACCTGAAGTCCTTCGACTCCAGGGCAGGTCCATTTCCAGTGATCCAACTCTTGGCTGGCAGAGCTGCCAGGGCTCTTCCTAAGCTGACTTCTGCTGAGGCCCAGGCTTACCACATTGAAAGCCACAGCAGTGGACTGGCCTGTTGGGACTCCTTGAGGGCAGATCACTGTACAGAACAGCTATTCATAGGCCTGCCACCTATCTTTCCATTTCTGATGCCTGGCTTTCTTTTCCTCCTGGTTTTTGTTAAAGCAGACCAGAGGATGCAAGTCCAGGGGCTGCTCAAGTCCCATCTCTAATCTAAAAATCAAATTGTGCACCTTGGAGAGTCCTTCAGAATAGAATTAGTTTCCTGCCCTATTCTTTCTTCAAAGTAACTCTTTCCTTTTAACCTTCCTTACCAAATGCACACTTCTGTACTTGTGATGTTTTCCATCTGCCAATTTCCTTGATCTACATTTCTAAATAACCTGTTAAAAATGTCAGATTAAGATGAAGGTAACACATCAAATTTCAGCCTGAGTTTCTCCAAGCAATGTTGAACTCTTTTCATAAACTGACCCAAACTTTTTTTTTATAGAATATAACATGCTGAGTATACAAAAGTTTACATTTAGACACATTTATCTCATTTGCCTTTATCCAATTTAAATTAGCAGTTACACCTAAATGACTTAAGATGCTGATATTAAATATTGCTATTGAATTCAATTAAAGTTAAAATTGCATTCATCTAGAACAAGTACTAATTACCCATTTTTGTTTAATTGAGTACTGATTACCCGGAAACCTGTTAAAATAAATTCAAAAGAAGTTTAGCAAGTTACAAAGCGATATTTTCAAAGGTAGTGTTCTTCCTAGATTCAAAGAGAAATTCCTTCAAGCTCAGTGTCTTTTTACAGTTACAGTTGCATTTTTCCTAAGAACACCTTAGGCCCATGGTGTCATATTCAGTTGGCCACGTGGGGCTTACGCACTTGACCTAAAACCCAGCAGACCAAAGGGGTGGGGTGAAGGAGGGAAAAAAGAGGGAGAAGGCGAGTGTGAGAGAGACAAGAGAGGAGAAGAGCTAGTGAGGAAAGAGAGAGATGAGAGGAGAGAGGGAGCAGGAGAGAAGAGAAAGGAGACCAGAGGAGGAGGCTAGAGAGCCATCTGGGGAGTGAACCAGCGGTTGGAAGACTTTCTCTCTCTCTGTCTGTCTCTCTACCTCTCTCTGTAACTCTGCCTTTCAAAAGATTTATTTTTATTTATTTTGAAAGGCAGAGTTACAGAGAGGCAGAGGCAGAGAGAAGGTTCACTCCCCAGATGGCCCCAATGGCCGGAGCTGCACCAAGCTGAAGCCAAGAGCCTCCTTTAGGTCTCCCATGTGGGTGTAGAGGCCCAAGCACTTGGACCATCTTCTACTGCTTTCCCAGGCCATAGCAGATAACAGGATTGGAAGTGGAGCAGCCAGGACTTGAACCAGTGCCCATATGGGATACTAGCACTGCAGGCAGCGACTTTACCAGCTATGCCACAG